GACGCAACAAATAAGTACAAAAGAGAAGGCGAAGAAGTGAGAGGGCTATGCTTTTTCCCACTGGGTTTTCTAACGCAGCCCGTGGAAAGAATGCAGAGCTTGCAAGAGGAAGCTTGGGCATAAAGGGGGGATAATGTTATGAACTGGTTCTATTTCACTTGAGTGACATATTCACATTACATGTCACAAGCTCGAGAACCATCTTATAGTTGTAGATACATTGCCTGTACAGATTTTCCCTCATCCGACAATCCACATAGGAAGACTGGTAATAGATACAAATCCTCACCAGAACTCCCTTGACCCTCGTCGCCGAAAACCCCCAAGTCTGTCCATAACATTGTACAAGCAAAATATTTGCCATTCGTCGGTTGGTTCTTGAGCTACACAGGATTCCATTTCTGTGATTTTGACTGGTAGCTCCGCTAAGTCATGGGTCATAATCCCATGATAGACCCAGCAAGCTACGGCCCTTAAGGGCAAGGGATCACCCCTGATCATACGTTCACACTTCCAATTCAGCCATCACCCTATACACAGACACTCTGATCAACTATATCGCTCCTTCATCATATCAAGTGATTTTGCAAATATAACAAGTTTCATCGTGTGAGCTCCTCTGATCAAGTTGATCAAATCTATTATGTTATCATGATATGATTATTTCGGACTTGGACACCACGATGCAAGTTCCATCACATGATAAGATACATTTTGAACCAATGAGAAACATAGCACTTTGGACAATGCTTTGGACAAATGGTCTGTTGTCCAATGATAACTATTCAATGACTAGCTCTCCTTACATAAACGCTAAGACCAAATCAGACGGTCAATTATATCAACTTCATAAGATCAAAAGAATTGAGGTTCACGTAAAAATTTACTACCGTTATACACATTTTACATATTAGCAATCAATGAGCAATCATGACAAGGTATCTTTTGGGTGTATATCTATCAGCGTACTTGATTGAGTCCATTTGAGTACGCTGTTTGGAAGATTTTTTGGCCAGTTCTGCTAGTCCTAGCGCATTTTATTCTACGTTGGAAAATCACCTAGTAGCCATTATTCAGAAAAATGAAGGATAAATCTATCGTCCACCATGTTCAAAAGTTTTATCCTGGCCGAGTACAGGATGTTGTTGAGGTGTGCAACCTGCTATCCAAAAGGAACATCTCCCCGAAGGAGTTCATGAATTGTTACTTCGCAGCCGACAATACAGAACTCAAGTCAAAACGCAGAATTTGGGGCACTGAAAATGGATGGCCTTCATCTTTGGAAGTACTTCTATCTATGCGAAAAGTGGTCTGTGAACAGAACGGAGGTGATCAGTCATGGAATGAATTCATACTCGTTGAGGTGAGTTCTAACTGTTTCCTGCAATGCTCAGTATGGGTTACAGCATTTGGCTGACAAGCTTTGACTTAGGCCAAGTGCATTGTAACCTCACAGGAGCCTCCAAGAGGTACTGCACCACAAGGCTCTTACTACAGCTCTAGAGATATTACGACCGATTTTTTTTCAGAGGAGAATAATACCACTCGAGAGATCGCCCTGCAAACTTCGATGCCATTTCTGTATGAGTTGATAAATGCGAAAATATTGTCAAGCATTGACCAGGGTGACGAAACGGAAATCAAAAATAATGATCCAGTTAAAACTACCAATGATCAGCCATCCGATCCAAATGAGGATTTGCCTCCAACTGATGATGATGGTGATTTGCCAGAGGGTGTCACTATGACAAAGCCAAAAACTCACCGAGAGATGAAGTTACTGCAATCCACAGCGGTTAGTTTGGTAGATATTGTTGATATTCCTTAAAGAGTTACTGACTTCTTTGCATAGGTACCAAGAATGATATGTTCAATGGTAGCTTTTATCTGCAACAGACGGTCTAACGGCATGCAAATTCACAATGCAATGACGTTCTTGGCTTGCGGTGGGTTGGAAAGGCTAAACAAGTTTCTTCACTTCCATGGAATGGCAGCGTCTTGTTCAACTGCTCTAGTCATTGCTGATACACTTCGAGAGGCGGCTGAGAAAAGTTTAAAAGATACTCTGGCTCAAGATTTTGTCATTCAACCGTTTGTTTGTGTTGACAACATTGATTTTCAAGAATGTATCCACACTAAGCGAGTAGAGTCCAATTCAACGATGTTCCACGGGTCTACTGGTTACTTTCACATAATTTTAGATACTCTAGCCACAAATCTAACAAAAGAGGACTTCTCGTACCCACTTTTTGAGGCTGCGATGAAGGCAGCTGAAGAAGACCAAGTTGATGTTGCGGAATTTCTGACAAACAAAGAAGAACTGGCTCATCTGGAGGCAGTGTCAAAGGTTCAGATATCTGATGCATACCTTTCATATATTGCTGTCGATAAAAAAGGATCCCCCACTTCCAAACGTCCAGATCTACAAAAAAAACCGCCAGAAATTGATAACATCAAGGTTGAAGAAGCAACCATTAAGATGTTGAAGCTGATGAACGCTGCAGATACCTCAGCTGAAGGAGTGTCGCAGCTTATGGCACAGGTTGCTGTTCAGGCTGGGCATGAACCCACCGATCATCTTGACACTTTGCATGTTGTTGAGGGTGATGTGGGTACATGTATGAATTTTGAAAGTTTACGTGAAAAACGGATTCCAGCTTTGAACGTCGAAGAAGGGTTCCTCAATTGGTTAACAGTACCCGGTCTTGCTCACCTCCTTTGGAATTTCATGCAAGCCATAGTGCTTCATCACTACGGCGATACAACGGCTGCCTTTGATACTGGTATGGGACGGGCTGCACACGAGCTAGGAGTAAAGATTGCACGAGCTAGGAGTAAAGATTGATAACCCGCATTCCAAGAAAGATTTCAGCTCGATTCTTCACATGGTGTATCAAGTCCATGCTGCTGAGATAACAGCGTGTTTGTTGTAAGTGATTTGATGGACTGTTGTAGAAGTAAACATACAAAGTTGACTTCATGAAGTATAATCTTGTAGATATATACTAGATCAAAAGGCCTCTGGATTCGATCATCTTGACTCGAAGAAAGCTCAGGAAGTGGTGGACGAATGTCACCACAAGTTCTTTACTGTTCAATCTCTTGAGCGTGCTGAAAAGGAAGGAGACCGTGTCGGTTATAACTTGCGATTACGACTTCGTGATTTAGGTACCATCATTGAGATGGATCAGGCGATGCGAAGTGGGGATATTGGTAGAGTTATCATCATACTCAAACAATGGTCAATTATGACTCATGGAGTCAAGGGGATGTCACACTATGCGCGTCATATTCCACGTCTAGTTCTGCTCCTTGAAGAATACCTGCCAAAGGAAATATCTCATGTTATCAAGCATTCACTTTTGATTCCTGCAAGTGGGAGGGCTGGCCACTTTGTAGCCAAAGACTTTTTCCTTGAGTTACAAAATTTCTGGCTGAAATACTTTTACAACCACAGTGTTAATTTTCCCGTCCTTTAATGAATGTTTCATTTTCATTCGCTGACATAGAGGTGCTTTTAGGGGGCAGGTACAAACATCAAACGCCTGACCGAACGTTATTCACTCAACATTTCTCTTGTAAGTAACACAATCTGATTGATACCACATTATCCTATCATTAGGCATTTGGCTGAATATGATACATCTTCTTCTTCACAGTTCCTATCGCTTTTGAGGGACATAAAGCGTAGATCAGGACGAACCGTGATATTCCAGTCTCATAATCACAAAATTACCCCCACCTCAATGAAAAATTTCCTTCAAAAAGCAAAAATGTATTTATTTAGAGAGACTTACCGTTCCCAGCCCGAACTGGTTAAAGATATAATGGGTCTTGGATTTATGAAAATGCAGGATATATTCCGGAAGGAGGCTCTAATGAAGACTGGTGGAACTCGGTACCGCTGGGGATGCCCAAATTCAGTCCTGCCTGAAGAAGATGAAGAAGATGTAGTGAACAACAATGTTCTCAATGCTGACTGAAGTGAATAATAACGCAAATTTTTGGTAGTTGAATATTAAAATGCTCACCAGTTAAAACAAACCATGGGAATCACAGTGTTTATTTGAACGAAAATGAGGATCGTGTTCGTAGTGATCAGTCTCCAGCAATGACTGGGCTGACGAGGATTGTACATCATTTTCAAAATATAGTTCTCTATGTGAATCATACGCTTCTGGATTGTTGACTCTATGACAATCTTGAATAATCTCTTGGTAGACCATCATGAACTCTATCGGAAAGAAAGTGTTGACTTAATGGAAGATGTAAATCGTTTTTGTAGTGATCAGTGTTGGGAAATGACAGTTCTTTTGAGGAGCGTACATAGTTTGAAAGATTGTGTTCTTCAGTAGAATTGTAGACTGGATTGGAGACTGTGAATGGCATATGTGAGGAAGAACTCAATTGGAAAGGATATCACTCATATGTGATTGCATTCGTATTTGGGGAAAGGTGAGACAGCCCTAAGATGTGAGAATCAGAAACAAACGAGTTTGTATTAGATTGAACTCTGTTTACGCGAGCCATAGCAGATGGTGACTGCATCTCCTGATTGGCGGATTCATGATAAGATTGTATAGTTGACACAAGGGGTTGGCGGAAAGGAGATGAAGTTGTTTGTAAAGGTATAGGAAAGCATGTGGAACTAGTAGGTGGTTCAGCTGTTTGACCCGTGTAGAAATCATTTTCATACAATTTTTGATTTTTGTTATGCTCAGATGTGGGGAATCTCGGCTGGTGTTTTTTTTGGTTTGAGGTCGAACGTGTTGGCAAACGGCTTCGCTTCTTTTGATTACTAGATGGTACTGATATACCCACCGCTTTGGAGGTAGTAGGTTGTTGAATGAATCCAACACCAAGATTTTCTTGCTGATTGATTGCCGGATTTGTTTTTTTTTTTGTTTTCCGCTCTCTTTGCGGCCGACATAGCCAATTTTCCTGCACGAGCCTTTGCTTCAAGTAAGTAGACAACGAATTTGTCTCTTGTCAACCATTGTGTGAGGCAGTCGTGAATAGTTTTAAAAGCTCCTTTGATAGGCTCACTACCGATTATTTCGCAAAGTGAGACGCCGCTGCGCAAGAGCTCAAAATTCTTGATGATTATCCAAATATGTACTTTTGTTAACATGTGATCCGGTCGTACATAGCAATTGTTTTCAGGAAAAGTTTCCATGTAAAGTTTACGAAATGAGAGTGAGAGTTCATCTGCAAGTGATTGAAGAAGTGTGTTCTTACGCATCACCTCGTTGGTAGCGCATGGAAGGATTAAGCCACTAGTTGACTTGATCGATTGGATTTTGGGTGTCACCCATCCATTTGTTACTGGAGATGCACCGATAGAAGTGGCTGTCATCCAGGAATCAAAGTTGTCGTGGGTGAGATGAGGTTGTTGCTCCAGAAACAATGGAACAAGATCCGGCCGACAATTTGAGCAAAGACAAGGTTGCATTCCAATTTTCTGCTGCCTAATTTTCTCATCCACATAGAACGGATCATCTTCCCTCAAAGGTACGTGACCAATCCTATCAAATCATTCTATGAGCAAAAATCAAAGCTGAGTAATGATGAGTGACTTGTACTTACATATTATCAACTTGAAAGGCAAATCAAAGGCATACAGGAGTGATAGCCATTGCATCCATACGATCATCGTCTGTCATCTTCAAAGGAGTGGCAAAATTGGAAACTTGGTTTTTACCGCTAGAGCGCTTGGATTCGACAAGCATGATTCCAACTCCAGGTCGACCGTCTCGTGCACAACACCCTAACATTTGTACACTTGACGCAGGATCCATTCTTCCCAGGGTGATAACACGTCGAGTGTTAGGCCAATCACACCCCATTCCTAAAGCCATAGTACACGCCATTATTGCCACATTTCCGTTGGCATAATCTTCAATGTGCTGAACCTTATCTTTTGAACCGGTGACTGCATGAAACCGCCGAACACACGAGCTCTTTCCATTGAATCGCTCGGCCAATGTTTCTCGCGCGTGATGAATTGCTTGGTGAGTTACAAGTGTTTCATTCTGAGTATTTGAATAAATGAGCGTTTGAGGTATCATCGAGTCGGGTATCACTGATCTTGGTACAAAGAATTGTTGCACATCGGTTCCCAGCTTAGATGCGTACTGCAGCGGGATTTGTATAAGGCGTATGGCCTCCCGGACCATCTCACCCTCAAGCATTTGAACATCCTCGTCTCGCCATTTCAGGTTTGCTTTGATTGCTTCCACTGCCACAGGACGACAGGTAGCTGTTAAGAGAAGTACAGGTGTACTGGTGGCTGTCAAACGTTGAGGTAGGTTTCTGTAAGAAGGCCGGAAAACACCTCGGTCTTGTGTTTGCAGGTGAGCGGAGGAGTGGCGAGCTTCACGACTTTCTACCAGACCCCATGAATATATCATATGAGCTTCGTCAACAACAATCAAAATGAGCCTTCTTTGAAAATCAGGCGAGAAGTAGACACTTTTGAAGAGTGGGTTGTTCAAAAACACCTCAGGACTCTACACAAAAGAATCACACCTATCAGTATTGATATTATTGGATTGGGTCAGAGAAGATTTGTTATCTCACCATATAAACAAACTGATAAACTCCTGCCTTTATATTTGCAATATTTTGCTTAGTCGCATTCTCAGCAGTGCAGTTGATAGCGGACAGACCACGGCGGGCCTTGTCAGCAACCTATACAAAGAAATAAGATATTACATTGGTGTTCAATCAGAAAGGAACAATTGATCAAAGGCATACCTGATTGTTACCAAGAGAATCAAGTGGGTTGATTGTTAACACAACTGGCCTTGGGTTGATTGGATGTAATGC